TGCTACCAAATGCTACTATCCACAAGGACAAAATTAGAATTGGCCATGGATCTGGAAAGGATTAAGAAAAAAATGGCACACACACTTCCCCAAAGGAATGGAATGGAATGGAATAGAATAGAATGGACCTTGGAGGTCTTCTAGTCCAGCCCCCTACTCAAGCAGGAAAACCTATACCATTTCAGATAAGTGACCGTCTCTAGCCTCTTCTTAAAAATCTCCAGTGATGGAGCACCCATGATTTCTGAAGGTAAGCTGTTCCACTGATTAATTGTCCTCACTGTTAGGAAATTTCTCCTTAATTCCAGGTTGCTTCTCTCTTTGATTAATTTCCAACCTTTGTTTCTTGTCCTGCCCTCTGGTGCTTTGGAGAATAATTTACCCCCCTCTTCTTTGTGGCAGCCCCTCAAATACTGGAATACTGCAATCATGTCACCCCTATTTCTTCTTTTCTTTAGACTAGCCAAACCCAAGTCCTGCAGCCATTCTTCATATGTTTTAGTCTCCAGGCCTTTGGTCATCTTAGTTGCTCTTCTCTGAACTTTTCCAAAGTCTCAACATCTTTTTGTAATATGATGACCAAAATTGGTTGCAGTATTCCAGGTGTGGTCTTACTAGGGTTTTATAAAGTGGTACTAATACTTTGCATGCTCTTGATTCTATGTCTCTGTTTATAGAACCAAGGTTTGTATTAGTTTTTTTTGGCTGCTGGTGCACATTGCTGACTCATATTCAAGTGATCATCCACTAGGACTCCAAGGTCCCTCTCACAGTTACTGTTTTTGAGCCAGGACTCGCCTAATCTGTACTTATACCTTTGATTTTTCCTGCCTAAATGTAAAACTTTGCTTTTCTCCCCATTAAAATTCATTTTGTTGGATAGGGCCTATTGTTCAAGTTTGTCTTTTTGGATCCTGAGCTTGTCTTCTGGGGTGTTGGCTATTGCTGCCAGTTTAGTGTCATCCGCAAATTTGATGAGTTCCCCTTCTATTCCCTCATCTAAGTCATTTATAATAAAAACAGTAAAAATTACAAGTACATGAAATCTTTTGTAGGCAGAAACAGATGAAAACCAGTAACACTGGTCTAGAAGGCAAAAGCCTCGGAAATGAAAGCAGGTAAATTTTACCAGAATTGGGTCACTAATAAGGGAAAATTAAGTCCTGAGTATTAATTGGCTCCAGTTTCCAAGATACAGCTTCAGGACAAAATTGCATCAAAATAATTCAAAATTATGAGGGGTGTGTGTGATTATGCTCCATAATTTTTCTGCAAAATGTGATATAGCAACGAGAATGGTGCCACACCAATCTTTATAAATTTATCTTTTTATTGATACCAATAACATAACTTTCCATTCATTTATTGGTTTTTCATGTAACATTTTCACGCTGTTTGCATGAAAAACTGAAAAGCTCTAAAGGTTCTATCTTTATTCAGTTTCTAAACTGCGTTTTTTGGCTTTTCTCTTGTGAACTGCAGTAGGATCATCCCTAGAGAAATCCCAGCAGTAATCAGCAAACATTGACGGACTCCATTTCCCTTGGTATCTTTTTTCCATGCTTGCAATACCCTGGTGCAATTTCTTCCCATGCTCATCACTCACTGCCCCAAAGTTCAAAGGGAAATAGTCTAAATGCATATGTAAGAAGTGAATTTTCAGTGACATATTTGCACCAAATGCTTTATAGGACCTAAGCAAATTTTCCACCTGTTTCCATAGTCATCGGCCTTGCTATTCCAGAGAAACTCCATTGCCACAGACTTAAAGGCTTCCCCCCATGCCTTCTTTTCCTTGCCGCGCAACAATCAGACTTGCCATCTCAGAGACGTTCTCGAATCTGTGGACTGACAAAGACACCTTCATTGATTTTGGCTTCACTAAGTCTTGGAAACTTTTCATAGAGATATTGGACACCTGGTTTTGTTTTGTCCATAGTCTTTACAAAGTTCTTCATCAGCCCCAGCCCCAACGGTGGTAATAAAATTTTCTGAGCGTCAACAAGAGCTGGATTTTGAACATTTTTCTTTCCTGGCTCCCAGGACTGTCGTGATGGCCAGTCTCTCTTGACATAATGAGAATCTCTGGCTTGATTGTCCCATTCACACAGGAAACAGCAGTACTTCACCTATCTAAAACGTCAGCCAACCAGCATCTTTATCTCCTGTTTTTTCATTCCTCTAATCAAAATATGTAAGAATTAACACATTTTATCTTGGAGGTCAATAATTTCCCCAGATTTGTAGACCAGTGTAATCTAAGCAAATGTGAAAGAATCAGGAACAGACAGCAAAATAGGATCCAGCACTTCCTATTGTCACTCTAGGTTCATTCCACTTCTGAAAATCTGTTTATTGAATACGCTGCTTCGTTATGTCAAAGCAAAACTAACTCTGAGGTCCCAACACCAATTCATAGACTTAAACAATAATTTTCCCAGCCAAATGCCCAACTTCTTATGTAATCCACATCAACAAATTCCCGTCTCCTTCAAATCCACACCTGTTCTGGTGTTCTTGACAAGACTTCAAGCTCTCACTGTCTTCAGCTGAATTGAAAATTCATTTCTCCATCTTGAAAGTAACACCTCCCCACCTTAAACTAAAGGCATATTGAAATGCAGAGGCACGTAGCTGCCAAAGTTTCATCCTTGACATCTACGTTCATAAGAAACCTGTGTGAGACCTGGCAAGCACTCTAGAAGGTGCCAGTCAGCATTATATGGAAAGATGCCTCTGCAGAAGCCAGTATCTGGATTTTCCCGCAGACAAAGTCACCACCTGGACAATGCCCAGGAATCCAGATTTTGAGAAGGCTGTTCCACAGCAGCCTAAGGCTGCTTGGCAAATCCAAGCTTTGGACCCACATCAGCAGTCACACTGTTGATGAAGCACTGTATGCTAGATTGCACCTCTGCAAAAGATGTGGCAAGACAGTCTCAAGGTAACTGTGAGAATTATGGCATTCTCACACAGGGCTGTGTGCTCTCTCCACTACTCTTTCTTTCTATATCAATGACTGCATCTCAAAGGATCCCTCTATTAAAGTACTGAAGTTTGCAGATGATATAACAGTGATTGGTCTCATTCGAGACAATGACAAATCTGCATATAGACAGAAAGTTGAACAACTGGCCCTGTGTTGCAGCCAGAACAATCTTGAACTGAACACACTCAAAACTGTAGAGATAGTAGACTTGAGAAGACCCCTTATTCTACCATCTCTTACAATACTAGACAACACAGTAGAGACCTTCAAGTTTCAAGGTTGTATAATATCTCAAGACTTAAAATGGATACCTAACATCCAAAATGTCATCAGAAAAGCACAACAAAGAAAGTTCTTCCTGCACCAACTCAGAAAGCTCAAGACTGCCCAAAGAGGTGCTGATACAGTTCTACAGAGGAATTATTGAGTCTGTCATTTGCACCTCTATAACTGTCTAGTTTGGCACAGCAACCAAACAAGACAAAGTCTTCAATAGTCAGGACTGCAGAAAATACAATTGCAACCAGCCTGCCTTCTACTGAAGACCTGTGTACTGAACGAGCTAGAGAGAGCTGTGAAAATATCTACAGACCCATCACATCCTGGACATAAACTGTTTCAACTTCTTCCCTCAAGACGCTACAGGGCATTGCATGCCAAAACAACCAGAAACAAAGACGGTTTTCCCCCCATGCTATCACTCTGCTAAACTACTAATTCCCACAACACTATCTTATGCCCTGGGATGTCAAACCACCTAGTAGGGCTGTATTACTATTATCCTTCTCATATTTCCTATTACCTATTTCCTTAGCTTCATACGACTATAACTTTGATGTTTATATCTTATTTGATTGCTTCTATTTAGTATCTTTGTATCTTGATTTTTTTGTATCTTACGGATTGTTTCTATTTAGTATTCTATTATGATTTATTTTGATTGCTAGTGTCCTATGATTATCACTGACTGCTGTATGATTTATGATGATTGTATTTATGATTATGATTTATCACTTGTTGCTTGTATGTACACTGAGAGCTTATGCACTGGAGACAAATTCCTTGTGTCCAATCACACTTAGCCAATAAAGAATTCTATTCTATTCCTATTCCTATTCTGAAGGAAGATCTCACTAGTATTCTTCTGAAAAACCGTGTGGAAACTTGTTTACCCATTATAGGAGTTATTTTAGAAACAGACCACCCTCTCTCAAATGACAACTATTTTATCAATATCTATAGTATGATTATTTGGGCTGCTTAAAATGCTATCATATTATCTTAATTATAGTTCAGCAAATTTACCTGCTTAGTCTTAACTTTCTGGATCTGGATAACTGTTCTGAGGGATAAACAATTATAATAGAAGTCAATGTTTTCAGCCTTCAGCTTCTTGATCTCTTTGTTATTTGTATTTGTGGTTAACATTTTCCAGCATTATTCTAAGACATTGGGTAAATTTGTAACCTACTTATCCATGGTTAAAGTTATACTGTAATTTATTTAGTTTTCTAGAGTCCCATAATATACTGAAGCATACATTAACTACAAGAATTGGCGTCAGTCAGATTCGTAAGATAAAACAACTTTAGCAAATGCTTTGTTCCAGATGCTTACAGAACAGGATTTGCAAGATCAGGAAAAGCACTTAAAATAAAATCGGGAAAGAAAGCTGTGCTGCATTGCTATAAACAGGTGGAATCCTTCTTTGGGGTGCATTATTTGCTAGATAAACAAGAGAATGCAGTGAATGAATGCCACTGACCAACCTCAGAGAGACACTTGGAAGTTAAGTAAGTTGGCTTCGAGGTTCAAAACATTTTTAATTTTATTTTTTGTACGCAGAACTGTTGGAGAGATCCTCCCAGATGGCTAGGCAGCGGACACCGAGAGCCCAAAAACGAAAAGGAAGCACAAAAGCAGTTCCGCTCCTGGACAAAATGGCCGCGGGAGCATTCGTCTTCTCCTCCCCTTCGCGCCACATCCGGGGGAGGGGGGAATGCGACCGGAAGTGGGTCGCGTTTCCAAGATGGCGACTCCCTATGTTACTGATGAAACCGGTGAGTGGGGGAGCTGCGGTTGGCATGTGGGGGACGTAATTTCGAGTGCCAAACTTTTTCTTCCCCTGACTCCCTCCAATTCGGCCACCCGCCTCCCCTTCGCGCCCGGCCGCTCCATCCTCGGTTCTATTCGAAGCGAGGTTCCTCCCCATCTCCATCCTCGCTTGTCCGTCCCGCTCTTACGCCACGCCCCCTCCTCGAGGGCGTCCCTCCCTTCTCTCTGGACTGCCTGTTCTCCTTGCCGCTGGGCCCCGCCCCTTTCCGGACTCGCCTTCTGGCGCCACGCCCCTTGCAGCAAGGCACCTCTCTTCGCGTCCGCGGGAAGTGAACCCCATGGCAGGTGCGAGGCACGCAGGTTTCCCCTTCTTCGCTTTCCCACGTGCGTGATAGCAGAGAGCAGCCCCTACGGGGTTTGATGTGCCGTATCCCAGGAATTGTCGTGGGACTGTTACCTCGGAGGGCGTCTAATTCTAAATAAAGTTTTTAGGCTAGGACTATGACTTCATTGTATATGCATACATGTACCCATGGAAGCTGTTGTAGAAGTATTGGGCCAATTCCCATCATCCTCAACCAGTTTAGAAAAGCTGAGGGCTGCAGTCCAATATATCCGAAGAAATCAGGTTTAGGGGGAAATGGTATCTAAATCAAACGGGTATCTAATTAGCGGTATCTAAAAATGGTATCTAAATAAAATTAGTCAAGTTTAGGGGATTTAGGTATCTAAATCGAATTATATCAGTGATGGGAACCAACAACGTGACCTGGTGCAGATACGGCTCTATAATCTATTTTTATTTCTTCCCCACTTTTTCTCATAATGAAGTTGCCTGATAAAAGAAGCATTTGTTGGTTAAAAGATTTCAATGATTTTTAAAAACTTCAATTAGCCTAATAATAATTCCTAATAAAATAATACAGTAAAATTTCTAAGGAAGTCCTTTCACTAATTTTGCTTTTTTCCCCCCCATAGGTTGAGCATCTACAATTCTGTATGCATAGCTTGAACATGCTAAATATCTAATTTGGGTCTTAAGCTCACTGTTCTCTTTTTAAGTGAATTTTCATCCATTTTTGGATTGCAGATGTTATTGGTTTCTTCCCTTGTAACCTGTGTCTTGGAATAACTAACAGTTGTGTAGAATTTTTGAAGAGATTAAAATTTCTGGACTTTTCTCCCCTTGACCAGTCAAGCTTCAGGATAATCCTCCTAGACTTTTTGGTCAAAACCATATATAATAGAAGAGTCTCTTTAATACTGCCTTTTCAATATAAAAACTTTGTTTATGATTTTTTTTCTTCAGGATAGTCTTATGTGATGGATTAAATTAAGAGAGAAATTGACCAAAGTCACAATGTGAGCTTTGTGTCTGAACTAGAGATTTGAATTCAAGCCTCCTTCATAAATTGCTGCAGTTGGTTTAAGGAAGCAGTGTAGCCTTACTGCCTCTGAAAATATTAGTGATTTTTGTATGTATCTGTTATCTTTATGGTAGTTTTAATTTGTCATGCGTGTTATGCATTAATTGTCTTGCATATGATCATATGCTGCACATCTGCCATTGTATCTTTTCTTATGAGAATCCTGAGCTAACTTACAGGATCACTGACAGGAACATTTTGGAAGTATTAAGTGTTGCCCTGTAAAAAGAGGCATTTTACTTTCATTTCTTTATATCTCTATCTTTCATATAAAAATATAAAAAAATCTCCTTTGTGTTAGTTCCTCAATTCCTCACGACATCATGGAAACCCCAAAAGTACCAAAATGGTTTGCCATTATTTTTTGCTAAAAGCAGGGTTTTTTTTACTTCTTTGTCTAATCCAAAGCCTTAGTATTTCTTGGTGGTCAGTGGTTTCCCTTCCAGACATTAACCAGGGTCAACTCATTCCTACTGGTGCAACCCAACCTTCCTCATTCATCAGCAGGAAGATTCAAATCCAAGAAGTCTCCACTGGCACTTGCACAACATCTGCCCAACAATTTTGACACCGATTCCCAATGGAAAAGCCAAATGGGTCACTGAGCGCCTAAATGTAGGAAGACATATAAATGACCCCACAGGAAAGGTTGCCAGGCTTTGTACTACCACACCAGCAGTGGACAATCCTGAATAGGATTCACATTTCACATAGTGACAGCCGGGACTCATTGTATAAAATGGGGCATAGGATCCTCCCCTGAATTTGACTGTGGAATCCTACATCAAACTGTAGATCATGTCGTGACTGGCTGTAAGTTGAGGGCATATACCGGTCCACTATCTGGATTTTTTTTTCAAACAATTCTGCCCTTTGATGGTTAAACGGACTAAACATTAGTATTTGAACATAGATCTTTTAAACATATTTTATTGTGTTTTACTAATTTAGATAAAATATTGATATATATTGCTAGTCCATTTGTGACATGTCCTACGCTAAATAAACTAACGGGTTATATTTTTATGATTAGTTGAGTTTGGGTTCTTGTGGAATTTGAATGGCTGCCTGGGTTTGTGCACATCTTTTTTCTGTTTTGCAGAGGAATTTTTCGCAATTCTTTTAAAACACTTGAAATTGCTAATGATCACTCAGGAAAATATGACTGATTGATTGACTGACTGACTGACTGATTGATAGCAGTTTCCTTCACAAACTAAAATAACCAATCCATATTTCAGGAAAATACATTGCATCCACACAGCGTCCAGATGGTACCTGGAGAAAACAAAGACGGGTGAAAGAAGGCTATGTTCCCCAAGAAGAAGTGCCAGTGTAAGTCTGATCCTCGCCGTGGTCCTCTTGTGAATATGTACAGAGAAGTAGCCACACAAGCAAAAATAAAAACTCTTGTAACAACTTAGGCCAGGGGTAGGCAACCTTGGCTCTTTTATGACCCGTGGACTTCAACTCCCAGAATTCCTGAGCCAGCCACGCTGAGGGGAAAGGGAGAGGTTTTCAAGCTGAGCCATGCTGGCTCAGGAATTCTGGGAGTTGAAGTCCACGAGTCATAAAAAGAGCCAAGGTTGCCTACCCCTGACTTAGGCTGTAAGCATGATTGCCCTAGATCACAGACTATCTTATCTGATGCATGCAATGTTATTTTTGTATAGTCTTTTTCCTCCTCTTGTATTAGTTGTGTATATGTGATGCTCCCTGCATTTGCTGAAGCAGACTGTAGTTCATGAAAACTCATTTGTTTAGAAATTATATTAGTCTTTAAGGTGGCACAAGACTGGCTTCTTGGGGTAGGAGGGCAAGAAAGCAAAAAACAGGGCTATGACATTGCCAGGAGACATACACACAGACTCCTTCCATCACCTTCTTCAGTTTTTGGAATGATATCCTTGAAAAAAACAGTTTTCATTAGTGATGTGGCCTCAGATCTGAAGGAACCTGGTCTGCTTTTGATAGGAAAAGCTCGGAATTCTCACTAAGCATTTAATGCTTTTAGATTATTTTTTTTAAGATCCCAGCTACTGACTGGCTCAGGAATTCTGGGAGTTGAAGTCCACAGGTCATAAAGGAGTCATAGTTCTCCACCCTTGCTTTAGAACTAGGCAGGACTATGACTTCAATGTGAACAGAAAACCAAGCTCACATTGCATTGTATAGTTACAGTACAGTAGGATTATGAGTAGTTCTAAACAGTTGACAATGCTTCTCCCAGGATTGTAACAGTAATAACGATATTTATAGCTTGGAGGGCAGCAGTCTGGGAAGGCTTCTTCAGAATGGCATAAAGAGTGTCCTATAAGAATGTCTGTTGATCAGTCAGCAGCAAGAAAGATTCAGTGCTTGGCTAAAGTATTTTCATTTACTTGTAATCTGAAGCAGCAGGAAGCAAGAAACCACAGGGCATTGGGACATTTTGTGGAACTATGTTAAAGGCAAATTTAAAGGCAAAAAAGGAAGTCAGAGGGTCTGGGAGGCTGATGCAGCACCTGTCTACATCTCCTTAAAGCAGCTGCCATTTTTCCCAGGTTTGGATAATGGTCCTTTGCAATTGCAGCATGATCCCAGAAAAAATTGTTTTATTTAAGGAGCTCAAGACAGGTGCTTTGTGCATTTCCCCTGCATGCATTTCAGCACCTTTCTGCCTTTGAATGGGAATACTGCATAGCCATTGTCTTTTTAGATCAGAAAGTGAAGATAACTTTCTGGTTTGTACTGCCTTGAACTTCCGAAGGAAACATGGTCTGTCTTTAACACCACATCCTCTTTTATTTCACGTAGGTATGAGAATAAATATGTGAAGTTCTTTAAAAGCAAGCCAGAATTACCTCCAGGCTTGAATCCAGAAGTTCACACACCTGTGGCCCGGCAAACGTCAAAGGGACCTGAGGGTGGCGAGACGGGGCTGTCCAAGACCGCTAAGAGGAATCTCAAACGGAAGGAGAAGAGGAAACAGCAACAGGAAAAAGGGGATCAAGATGCCGATGACCTGATTCAGTCTTTAGAGAAAACAACCTTGTCAGTGACACCAAGCAGCTGTGGGGATGGTAAGCTGGCTGTGTCTGATGCCAACCCAAGAGCCTCTGCTGGCAGCAGGGATGTGTCCGCCACTGCCATCTTAGAGAAAAACAAGAAAATTAAAAATCTGAAAAAGAAACTACGGCAGGTGGAGGAGCTGCAGGCGCGGATTGACTCTGGGGAGATCAAGCAGCCGACCAAAGAGCAGTTAGAGAAGCTGGCTCGACGGAAAGCTTTGGAAGAGGAACTTGAGGACCTGGAACTGGATTTGTAAAGGGTTGGAATATCAACTGGACCTAGTGTGTGTAGGAACAAACCGTCCCCGGGGAAACATTCTCAGAACGGTGCAACAAAAAAGACCAGAAGATGGTGATGTCTTCAGGCTTCCCCTTTGTATCATTATTTTATTTTATGTTGATGCTGTCTGAATTTTTAAAAGTATTTCTCCCAGCTGTTGATGTGTTAGCTATCTAGGACCTCTTTAAGGACAACGGGTTTGCCACCTACTTCTTTCTAGTTTCTTCCTCCCCTTCCCACCTCCATTCCTGTTTCAGGCAGGTAGCTGAAATGTCATTTGGCACAGAGGGGCTGACTTTCAGAGGCACCTGAGCAGGGGGAGCAGTCTGTCTTTTCTTCCTGCCACTGTATTATATTCAACATTTTCACGTTCTCTGTAACAGTCACACGGCCTTCCATCTTCTCTTCCTCCTCATTTTGGAAAAGGGATGCAATAATAAAAATTGCAGTAGTGACTTCTGACTCTAGGACATCTGTGTTCCCCCCCCCCAATACACATTTTTTTTTTTAAAAAAAAGTCTTCTGTATGATATTAGCAATTTTATAGGCTTCCCTTTGGCTGGTGGACGCAGGCAGTGTCAAAAGCGGTTTGTGATAGATGTGAAAAAGGCAAAAGGGAGAGTAACTCAGTGATGGAGAATATGTTTTATACGCAGATGTTCTGAAGTCTGATCCCAATTATCTTCAGATTGGAAAAAAACCTTGAAGCCTTGGGGGGGCCACTATCAATCGATCTTAACAATGTTGATCTCACTGTGTTCTGGTTTAGCAAAGGCAGCTTCCAGGCTGGGGTTGCATAACATGCCACCTGAGGCTAAAATGGAATGATTCGTAATGCGGTTTGTTGCAAACCTGGACCTTGTCTTACGTTGTGTGATCCAGACTATCAAATTTAAGTAGCCCAATTTATTTCCTTAGTTATATCTGAACAGCAAATCTGCTTGACTGCCAAGTGGCAGTAAAAGAGATTAATCTAATCGTTGCCCTCTAATCGTTTTCCAGAGTTTTCGCATCCCAGATAAAGTTTCCCTGGACATAGCAATTGTGTTTGGTTAACTAAGAGCTGGATGTTTTGTGTGAATCTGGTCCCCGTGTTTCATGTAAGGGATTGTTAGAAATAGAATCGATAATAAATGTATGGATATGATGTGATCATCCTCGGCGTAGTAGGCACAGTTTTTATCACTTTCATATAACAGGAAATTTAAATTTGGGGAAAAGTGAAAAGAAAGGCAAAATAAACAGAGGTATCTTCAATTTGAATAAAAGTCCACGAGTTTCTTAGCCAAGATAACTAAATTTTCTCTCCCTCTCTCCCTCTCTCTCTCATTTCTGTATTAGAAAAGTGTTCATGAACTTCCACAGCCTAAGACCAATTCTGAGAATAGGTTCACTTAAAACATAGTGAGGACCAAATTTTAAGGGAGGAAATGACCAGTCCTGGGGTGATCAGAAGCTACAGGAGTGGTAGCAATAAAGTCTACAAAGAAAAGAGCAGTTGTGTAGAATATGAATAACTGTGTTATAGACATGGCCAGGACAAAAAAAAATCTGTTTCTTTCTTTTTTCCTTGTGAGATGTTCTTTGATGCTGAAACTGTGTTATTTATTTATGTACTGATTGATATCATGCCTTTCACCAAGCAACTCAAGGTGACACACAACACTCCCTCTTTCTAGTTTTCCTCACAGATGCCATTGTGGCTTAAACTGCCATTTTTTATATATATTCCACCTCTCGTGGCAGGAAGCTGAAATTGAGTAACTTAGTTGGAAGAAAATTTTTTTTTAAAAAATGTGTGGTTTTATACACACAGAGAGAGACAAAGAGTTGAGGCTGCAGAGGACCCTACAGTATGTGGTATCTTACTGGTTATGGAAAAGAAACTGTATCTTAATCATATTATGTCTAGCTATGCTAATATGCTAAATATATTTTCATCAATGTCAGAGATCAGAGGAACTTTCGTGTGCCCCAGCTGAAATGTCTATTCGGTGTGAGAAAACAAAATTTAATTTCATACTTCTAATTTAAATTGAGAGATATTTTTTTCTTTCTGTCCCTTAACTACCCCCTAGCATGTTGGCCTGAGCAAAGTGCGATCTCTGACTCAGTCTCTGAGCAAGAATTGAGGCTTTCCAGGTACTACTGAGTTACACTGAAATTGCCAAAGGCAGAAGAGGGGAAAGGAGCAAGGGAGTTAAAAAAAAATTAGGCTAAAGTTTCAGCCATGAAATCAGCGCTGTAGTTCAAAGTTAGTGTCAAGAAATAGTGTGTACACTGAATGCCTTTTGTTAGTGGAAGGTAACATTGGTGTCAGATTGCACCTCCTGTTCAGGAACGGGGGTGGGAGTGGGGAGGGGGGGAACCCAGCAGCAGCTGCTCCTACAACTGTGTGAAAACAAAGGATATTAACATTGGCCAATGCTGGATTAGGGGTTTTGTTACTTTTGTCCAGCAGGTGGTGCTAAAAGGGCAATTTTGTATGCTTAGCTACTTCATATATATATATAAAATTTTGTTCTTGAAGCCACGACTTCACACACATGCTAATATGCCTTTAGATCAGGGGCATCCAACCTTGGCAACTTTCAGACCTGTGGACTTCAATACCCAAAATTCCCCAGCCAGCCATTCAGCATGGCTGGCTGGGGAATCCTGGGAGTTGAAGTCCAAGGATCTGAAAGTTGCAAAGCTTGGATACCTCTGCTTTAGATGGACTAGCAAAAACACATCCCCCAGGGTAGCGCGCGCGCGCGCACACACACACACACACACACACACTACCCCATATATTGAATGACATATTTATAGGTCCCTTTTTAGGCCAACATGCCTGGCTAAGGCATTCATATATAACTAACCTAGATCCCATCCCAGACTGATTTTCCCATATTCCTCTAATCCAGGGGTGTCAAACTCGCAACGTCACATGATGTGTCACGACATAACGCGACTTTTTTGCCATTGCTGGCAATGGGGTGGGCGCAGTTTCGCCATGACGCATCTGGCCCCTGGGCTGGCAGTTTGACACCCCTGCTCTAATCCTTAGATGCAGGTCACTGAGCTCATGGCTGAGAGTAAAAGAATAACTGCATCACTTGGAAAACTAGTTTTGCTTTCCAGGGAGCCACTCATTGGACAGATGAGGACTCGGGATAGTACTGCCTCTACTAGGGAGGATGTGAGGAACAGGACCCCTTCTAGCAAGGATGGGTTCCAACTATCATCCAACTATTGTAGCCAATAGTCAGGAACATCACTTCTTGTGGTGAAAATGAATTGGAGAAAACCACATGGTTCCCAAATATCCTTTATCTGCTGTTTACCCAGCTGTCTTTTTGTTTTACACAGAAAGATTAAAGGATCACCTGGAGAAGCTTAGGGAGACATCAAAAACACAGCTGCTGCTGTTGTTACCCTCCCATTGTTTCCCTCACGACAAGGTTTGTACCTTTCTCTAATTTATACTACGGTAGGAGCAGAAGGTGGCTGATAGGTTTGGTGAAATGCATGTTAATGAAAACTGTAGTCCCTCCTAGACGAAACTTCCAGGAGTCGTCCTGGTGATTATTCTTACAATTCTATGATCTATTTTCCTTGGTCTCTGATGAACTCTATTTTCCTTTACCTCGACTGTGCTCCTTGCCAAGTAATTTTAAACATAGGGTAACTTTTGAATGTTCCCCTTGTGGTTTTTAACCTTTCTTTCAAGAAGCTCACTATCCTTTTGACTTGGAGTCCTTTGTGGCAGGGGGGTGGGTGAGTCAAAATTCTGTAACTCAAAAGCACAAGTTGACAGGCTTACAGATTTTGGTTGAAAAATAAAGTCAAGTCTTGCAACCTGAAGAAGTTTACTTTTACGTGTTGGGTGAAATTTTTCAATATGTGAAGTGGGGAAGTCCATTCTGCAATTGTTGACGGCAAACATTTTGCTTATTTCATCATCTGTTTTCATTTGCATTTGCTTCAGAGTTTGATTCTCCCACCTGTCAATAAGTAAGATCACATAAATGCCAAGGAAAGCATATCAAATCAAATGATAAATAAGAGTTGTCATCTGAATTTCGAAAATCAGTTAATACATGGTGTAGGCCTTAACGTTTAGAAAAAAAGTAGATTCCCAAGTATACTTTTTTTATTACATACTTGTATATGCATCAGAAACAAATTCCTAGCGTGTCCAATCACACTTGGCCAATAAAGAACCTATTCTATTCTATTCTATTCTATTCTATTCTATTCTATATTCTCTTCCACTCCACTCCACTCCACTCCATTGTTGGGTGGCATGCATCCTCCAAATGTCACAATTACAAGTATTAAAACTGTTAGCTAATTAGTCTTTGCAGGATCCTCTGCTGACCAAATACACCTCTATTTTATTTTGAAAGTGTTGAAATTTATCTGCAAAATTCATTGGGACAAAGATTCTTTATCATCTGTATTTCCAGATAAAAAGAGCATCTATCAGAAACAAAATCACACATTTCAGTTAAGCAGAAATGAGATTTTAGAACAGTGGGAAGTTTGATAGAATGTATAAACCCAGCGATTGTAACTTATATACGGTGATGTTTGGCTTAATATGTGAATTTAGCCAAATATGTCACAGTTTTTAAAAAAATCATAGGTTAGTGCAATGTGTAAATCTAGTCAGGATGTAGGCTTGTTAAAGCTATTGACTATTGGTCCAAAGATACTTGTGTTTGTATTGGACAATGATCAGTTTAGCAAATCCACCAATTTAAAGTCCTAAGCCATCCTTCCTAAACCAGGGCCACTTCTTAATGTATTAGTTATCATTCCAATCTCAATATTCACCAGCAACATTGTTTTTGTAGAAGAAATCCTCCTTTGATGTCAGTCAGAAATTTCCCCCCAGTAAAACCTGCAGTTCCTGAGAAGAGATTCTTCAATAGGGAAAGGAGGATTAAAATCTTATGCTTGCTTGGAGGCAATAATTAACCTCAAGTTTATTCAATTTTCAATTCAATTATAACTAGAAAGGAGAATATTTGTAGCTCGAGGTCAAAATGAGGGTTCCTTGGCACTCTCTGAATTTGGTTGTTTTCTTGCAGACGTTTCATTACCCAAATTAGGTAACATCATCATGATGTTATCTAGCTTCGGTAATGAGCTGTCTGCAAGAAAACAAGCAAGCTCAGAGACAACCAAGGAACCCCCTAATCATAACCATATTGTATTCAAAGGCTCATCTAATATGTATATAAGCATGGTGCTAAATCAACAAATGCTACAAGTGTGGTCCCCAATCTGTTCTCAAATGCAGTATAGTTCAGTGGTTAGCAGGCCAGATCTAGGGTCCAAGTTTCTGTTCAGTCATGATGAACAGTTTTGATCATCAGTTGCTACTTTTTGTCTAAAAAAGGTGGCTACGAGAAC